GTTCTCCATCTGGACCAACAATCCACGCCACCCAACACCCCCACACAAAAACGTACAGTGTGTGGAAGGAACCTCAATATAGCGCACTTCATTCACCTAATGCGCATTGACATGCTTCTTATCTCTTGCCGCCCCCCCATGAAGATCAACACAAAAAGGCACCTTCCTTTAGTTTGATATTTTTCTTCCACTTCCGAAACCACAGGGATTCTGATGAGAAATGGCACCTGCGTTATGGCTCATTAAGGCTGAGTTTAGCATCATCCTGACCTGGGGTTTCTTTCTCTCTGTGGGCACGCTCTCCTGCGGACCTAGCCCGCCCACTCAGAGCAGGATTTTAGAGAGTGAGAAACAGAGCTGCTTAACCCTGCCTGAGCCCCAGCAGATCAAAGCCTGGCGCTCAAACAGTGAAGAAGCCACAGGCACTGACTGACATTCTCATTACAATATGGAGATCGCTCTGAGCACCAAGAAGCTTCCTGTGTGAGGACAATGTCAGACCTCTGCAAACTAGTCTGTGCTCTGCCTCCATTTCATGCTAACATAACCTTTCGTCTGACATAATAGGAACCCATGGGAGTGAAATTTTCACCGCATTGTGTACTCGGCCACAAAGACCCTGTTCTTTTTTTTAGCCTAAAACAACACAGCTGCTCCAACCCTTGAGAACTCTTGACCACAAACATTAACGGTTTAGACAAACAGCATACCTTTCTTCAGAAACTGTTTAAAATCTAAGGTCTTGGTTCTGCCTCACTCAGAGGAAAATTGTGGAGAGGTTTGTCTTTCATAGGGGACATTATGGAGTTCTCAATTTTGTTTAAAATACCTCTCAGTGTTTCTCCTAAAATTCCTTAGGGAAAAAAAACACACTTACACACATGGGGCAATTGGTAACCTACAGAAAGACTTAAGAGCAGGGGTATTAGCCACCATTAGCCACCAATAATGTAGTCCTTACCCCAGGCTGTTTAGGAAATAATCGTTTAAAGTTTCAGCCACCTAAGAAAACAAAATGGCAGCCAAATGCTTTGACAGAGGACTAAACAAGCTAAATGAGTTGTAATCCAGTATTGTTAGCGTCCATTTACCTGCTTTTCAGCAAGGACTATTTATGTATATAAGTATATGCACCCACTCCCACACACACCTTCTTTGTAAATCAGTCCTATGCCTGTGGTATAGAGTACAGTATACAGTATCTATAAAGACAGTATGGTATAGATTTATACAATTAATGCACATATTATAGATGATTGCGTTAATTTAGTAGATTAAATGAAGAGTTTGTTGAGAAATATTTAAATTGTCTATATTATATTGCGTTTATATTGAAATCTTTAAATTTTGATTGCAGATTTTGGTACCTTGACAACTATGGGCACACTATAAGACATTCTTGAGTGGTATTTTTTTTCTCAGGAATAAATCTTAAATAAAACTCTCAATTTTCTCTTCATTTAATTTGATTTTTGTCTAGGAGAAGCGATTGAGATATCAAAGAAAGTCTCACTCATGATTTTTCTTTCCTGCGGGCAGTCTAGATGAGACTTCACAAGATGGCACAAACAATCGAACAGCCAAACCACGCACACACATTTGCACACATATGCGCAACCGTCCATCATATCGTCGTAGGGGGGATGCTGCTTTCAGCCAGTCGATGTGGAGCCTAATTTTGCACCTGAGGTCTCTAATGGTGATATGTTTATAGTGTGGCATTGCTAAGTGGATCTGCCTCTCCACTGGCTGTGCTGAATGGCAGTGCATTTACTGGAGGATAAAATGACTGTGGTGGCATGGTTGGCGAGCGCTGTGCACTCAGGGTGGGGGATAGTGAGGACTGGGTGGGGGGTGGATTTGAAATGCCTGGCAGTCTATGTCTGCTCACAGAGGAATTGTTTTTAAGAGCCTGTTACCCAATGGCAATGATTTGGAGGGTTGTACCAGGCTTGATTAGGCCGATAACAGTTTCAGTCCTTTAGACAAAAAGAATTACCCATTCTTCATGCAAGGGAGCATGTGGATGAATGATTGTTTTTATAGGTACTTATACATATGTGCATGACCATATGTCGAAAATATAGCGAAATATAGCGAAAATAAAAAAAATGGGAATATGAGAATAAATATGTTTTGGCCCTCCTTGTCTACAGGCCCCAAACAGCATTTTAAGTTGCCACACTCTGAAAGTTGTTAATATGTATTATATACTTGTGCATATTTTTTGTTTGTTTGTGTGAGACCTCAGTCCAAACTGAGATCTGTTTTTGCTTGGTGTTGCCCCCTAAAGGAGAGACTCCGTAACATGCCTCTCGGTGCACCTCGCAGCACAGAGAAATTAGCACAATGTTTAACAACCCTGCAACAGAGCTCCAGGGCTTGCTAGCTTATTGCCTCAATTAATACCAGATTTAATTGGCTTTCCACAAACACAATGACAATCAGGTCCATGTCACCTACAGAGAACGACTCGGTTGCGATCGATAGGTCCCATCATCTGCTCCTCGTGAGGGAAATGAAAACACTTTGTCTTCTGGCTGAAGGCACCCGCATGCAGAGCTTTGTGTTTGTCTGTGAGTCTGTGTAATCCGGCTGTTTTAGAAAGACTGAAGATGAATGGATTCCCCGGCACACTATAGCTCATTCTGTCAGGCTTGCAGGCTGAGCGACTGCATCTTAAAGTTATCTTCAAAACCTTCCCTCACTTAGCCCGTCAGGCCCCTGAAATTCTCACCTCACCTTCCCTTTATCAAGACTTCAGACGTCTCCAGAGCGTCTCAGCGTCACAACAGACAAATCGTTTCTTAAATTGTCTTTTATATTTTAAAAGGCCAAATTCAGTTTGTCAAATCATGTTTAGCTTTTCATTCTTAATGGCTTCTTTTGCCCCTGTTTCTGTCTCTGTCACTCTCAGCATGATGTGATTCAGCAGTGAGACATGTTTCATCTTTCTTTGTTGGTAGTAAACAACAACTCTTTCAAACAATCAGCCTGTTGAACATGGGGCCAGATGGGTAGTGCACAAGCTCCGACGTGTTGCCACTATATATATCAAAATGCCAAAAATAAAACTTTAAAGAAGGAAACAGTCACAGCTCCAACAGTAACTGTAACCTTCCTTAGATCTATTTCCTCTCATCCCCTGCGGTCATCGGCCGAGTGATGCCAGTGGTGCCGTCACGGTGAAGTCACTGTCTAAAACCTTCACACTCTGTGGTGAAATGTATTTCCGACCGTCACCCAAACAACAGAATCCATTGGATTCTTCAAAATGAGTGAGTGAGTGAGTGAGTGACGTGACATGTGGCCAAGTATGGTTACCCATACTAGGAATTAATGTTCTGCATTTAACCCATCCTAAGTGAACACACACACACACACCGTGAACACACACTCGGAGCAGTGGGCAGCCATTTATGCTGCGGCGCCCAGGGAGAGGTTGGGGGTTCGGTGCCTTGCTCAAGGGCACCTCAGTTGTGGTATTGAAGGTGGAAGAGAGCGCTGTACATTCACTCCCCCCACCTACAGTTCCTGCCGGACCTGAGACTCGAACTCACAACCTTTGGGTTACGAGTCCGACAGGTTGCGAGTTCGAGTCTCAGGTCCGGCAGGAACTGTAGGTGGGGGGAGTGAATGTACAGCGCTCTCTTCCACCACCAGCGCTCTCTTCCATAAAAGAATAAATGTGGTTGAAGACACACCTTTAATGGACTAACCATAGCAACTTTAATCGTAGAAACCAAGTCAGATACAGAAAGTTTCAAAAATCAAACAAAGCAAATATAAGTCAAACTGGGTAATGGTGAGATGTAGACGAAAAGACTTGTGAGAGAAGAGGTGGCATTATGATTGACTGATTACTCTGCCAATGTGATAATGCCCACCTGTCTTTTTCACAACCGGTCTGTAAATAAGCCTGAATGGGTCTAACAGGTGGCAATGGATGGACTAATTACAAAGTAAACAAGTCACTCATTTGGACGTCACCACATGAATTGAAATTAACTTGAAATGTCTTTACCCAAGATCTGTTGATTACTGGTTCAAAAAGAATAAAAAAAAAAAAGTAAAAAAATAAAATAAACTGTGAATAATATTAGATAAACAACATTTAGTACTAACAAATCATTTATATACACATTTTGCTGGTTACTATATTAGTGTATTTTTCAAGCAATATTAAAATGTGACTTTTGTACTTTAATATGCTATAAACACACAAACGTTTTATGTAAATGTAAAGTCCTAAATGTAAATCATTGGTTCTCAATCTTTTTGACTCTAAGGCCCCCATTCAAGACAATATTTGAATGCTGTCCTATTGAAGAGGTATCAGTGGGACTATAATAAAATTAATTTTTATAAAAATTAATAAATAAATATGTTGTTTGTATGGCAAATGTCAGTTTAATGTATTTATTGATTTGCATGTTTTTAAGCATTTTAATTAAGATTATGTTAATGTAACTACATTTATTTTTAAGACTTATTTCGGGCCCACCTGGAAGTTGGCTTAGGCCCTCAAGTGGGCCCCGGACCTCTGGTAGAGAACCAATGGTGTAAAATAAATAGACTTTTATTATACTTTTCTCCCTTGGAGGGAATATCTGCTCATTTTCATGTACAGAAGACATTTACAGAAGACCATCAAATGCCAGCTCTACAGTAACTAGCATTGTTCTCCACTATTTTTTACTTCCACTTCTGCTCAAGTGCTACACTATTCCAGTGAAGCTGACTGCTGACTATATGTATTGTTTTCTTCCTTGGATTAATCTGCTTGTATTATTCTGGTTTGTAAGTCACTTTGGATAAAAGCGTCTGGTAAAATGAATACACGTAAATGTAACCTCAGCCCTAAGCTTTACTCTAAATCTCACACTTATATCGGATTGGTTGACAGAAATGTTGTCTTTGGACTAACAAGTATGCTGATCCATGAACATGTCCTACTTGAGTGAAACATGCTAAGCCTCTTTCTTTCTCTCTCCCTCCAGATGATGTCCCACCCTACTTCAAAATGGAGCCGGTGGCAACCCAAATCCACCTGGAAGGGAACCGGTTGGTTCTCACCTGCATGGCTGAGGGCAGCTGGCCTCTGGAGTTTAAATGGCTTTACAATGGTACAGAGTTGACACGTTTCTCCCTGGAGTACAGGTAACACTTCCCATCTTCCCACTGCTGTATGAGTGTTTCTGCAACTATTTTACTCATAATCATTTCTAGGGGTACCAATAATTGTGTCCAACGTGTATTTGAGAAAAACAATTATTTCATAATGAGATTTCCCCCCATTTTCAATTGTTTTAGTTCAATGAAAGGTTAGATATTTGTGAATTTTTTTAAATAAAAGATCAAATTGATTAACAATGCAGATTTATTTTCACAGCCTTCTTTGATCATATTTACCAAGTGTGCCAATAGTTCTGATCACGACTGTATTGAACATGCACTTTCGCACAGGTAATTTCATTTGTGCACTAGTTTTTTTTCTTTGAAAGTCATGAACATTCAAAGCACAATGTCACATCTCAAATGATGTATTGCATTTAATAACATTTTGCATTTTGTGGTAGAAATAGGGATGGTGATGGAAATGACATTTTAATTTTGACATTTACACAAGAGTATTTTTCCATTTTATTCAAAAAATTACATTTTAAGGATAAATCTGAGAACCCTTTTGTGTGGCTTATGTTTCCTAAATACACAATATAACAATATAAATATTATAATTTTTTTTCATAATTTGAAAAAAATTACAGCTTTTCTGCAAAATTACAGCTATGATGAACAATAAAAATACTTTGTTCATAGTGAATTTTCATATTTGAAGATTGAACGGTCTGGGAGAAGAATAAAACAATCAAATCGATTCATTTCATCTATTCATAAAAGGCATTTCAAAAGCAGAAAATAAAATAATAAAGGCCTGGTAAAAAGTTTCCAAAACCATTTTAATATGACGGATATTTAATTTGAATAAAAATCAACCCCTGGGTCACAAAGATGTCTGTAGTTGAAGAAACACGCATTTATCACTCAGACAGCTTAATTATTATCACAAATAGAACATTAACCACAGTTTCAATTGCAACAAATTTCATTCAGTTTTTCTGGTATTTATTTAAATTATGTCTTCTTTCTTTTTAGTGAGTCAGGAGCGTTTGTGGATTATAATCCTCTTGAGTTGTAGCGCCTCATTCCCTGCGCAGCCATGAAATCACACTCATATTGCCTCTCAGATTTTCATATTTGAAGATTGAACGGTCTGGGAGAAGAATAAAACAATCAAATCGATTCATTTCATCTATTCATAAAAGGCATTTCAAAAGCAGAAAATAAAATAATAAAGGCCTGGTAAAAAGTTTCCAAAACCATTTTAATATGACGGATATTTAATTTGAATAAAAATCAACCCCTGGGTCACGAAAGTGCATGTAGTTGAAGAAACACTCATTTATCGCTCAGACAGCTTAATCATTATCACAAATAGAACATTAACCACAGTTTCAATTGCAACAAATTTCATTCAGTTTTTCTGGTATTTATTTAAATTATGTCTTCTTTCTTTTTAGTGAGTCAGGAGCGTTTGTGGATTGTAATCCTCTTGAGTTGTAGCGCCTCATTCCCTCTGCAGCCATGAAATCACACTCATATTGCCTCTCAGCTCACATTAAATGAGAATGAGATGTATTTCCTGAGCGATCCCTGTCGTCCGTGTTTTGTTTTATGTATTCTGCATAAATGTTGTATCCCTGGTGAAGGCAGGGCAGAATTATCCATCAAGAAAGAGCAGGTAGCCGAGTACCTTGTGAATTATTTTCAATAGCTTCAAGAGCTATGTAATATTTATATTTGAAAAGGCAAAGTGTTTTTCCCCCTCTCTCTCTGGTCGCAGTGAGGTGGCTTGGCTGTATTATTTTCCTGCACTCTTTGTACCTGCTGACCACAGGACTCCAGATGGACTCTTTCATATTTGCCTTTGCATTTTAAGACGTCCTAATAGCTAAAAGTCCAAGCTTCCCGCAGTGCTTACTCTAAGTAGGGGTCGAGTCAGACGTTTTCTGGCCTCTTTCAGAGGTTCCTGCTCGCTACGGCTTTTCTGCCTGTCAGTCAAGACAATAGCAGCGCTTCTGACGCAGTCCACAGAGCATCTCCAAAAGATCCCTGGTGACTGAAACTTCCCTGCAGTCTCCTACGTCTCAGACACTGATGTGTGTGTGTGTGTGTGTGTGTGTGTGTTTGCATAGTTTTCTCTTTGAGCAAGTGGAGACTTGCTCTCTTCTTTGTATTCCTCACGTCCACCGATCAAAGAAAAAGCTTGAATCCTCTTCAGCAGGTCGTACTAAACCTGTGACTGGTAATGCAGGAAAACTAAAGTATCGGAAAAAGAGCTGGTGGTGTAAAAAGGAGGCAGAATTGACTGGTTGAGTAAAAGCGCCACTGCCCATATGCTCAGCTCTCTCTTTATCACTCCATTTAACTAATAGGTCTTGCCACAGGCTCGTGACTGAAGCAGTGTGCGTAGGTGTAAAAACACACTTGTGTACTTCATGTTGTCATGATGGCGGCCTAGTTTTAGTTTTTATTTCAATAGCATACATGACTACGATCATAGACGTTCAAAGCACATGAATAACCCACATCCAAGACCCCTCATTTTGCATTGATGACTGTGCAGTCGCAGTCATCTTAATGGGATATTTCTGTCATCATTTACTCACCCTCATGTCATTCCAAACCTGTGTGACTTTTGTTCAAAATATCTTCTTTTGTATTTCAAAGGAGAAATAAAATCATACAGGTTTGGACTGGTATGACGTGGAGCAAAAGATGACAGGATATTCAATTTCGGTTGAATTATCCTATATATTATATACAGTGGAGATCAGAATTAACAATTTATGAGCATATAAATTGCTAATAGAACAATAGAACTGTTCTAGTGGCTATAACATGCTAATAGAACAGTGTTTCACAAAATAACCAAGGCACTTCAACAACAACAAAAAAAAACCTTTATTTTGTGGAAAACACACACTGTAAAAAACCCAACTTGAATTCAGTTTAAATTACTGGTTTTGTTGTGTTGGGTCAGCAAAAATCCATGAAAAAGTCAGTACAACTAAGTTTAATATGTTTATTCAGCTTAAACCAAGTTTTTTTTCCATAAACTTAAAAAGATGAGTTCTGTGAACAGCGCTTTGCAAGTTCATCGATGGGTATACTTGCCTGTTTAATTGCCTTTGTCTTAAAAATTGCTCTTTTAAATAAATGTTTTATTAATATTGTGTCAGTGTTTTCAGTTTTTGACTTGGACACTGATGTTGCAGTTTTCAGTTGTAACATATTTTTTCTTAGTACCAATTTCCAGTAGCATTTTTTTGTTCAGTCAACTTCAGGTATTTGAGTTCTACAGACAAAAAATGTTGAGTTGGCACAACTTAAAAAGGTTTGTTATAGAATCGTTGCACATCTCTAGAAAACTAACAATCTTGAGTTAACTCAACTAAACATTTTTTGTATGACTGACAGCTTCTTTTCAGTCAGTATAACTGCTTTTTTACAAAAGTTGAGTGAACAAGAAAAAGCTAGGGGAAATTAGTACTAAGATTTTTTTTGTTGTGCTGGCTTAACATTTTTTACAGTGCAGTGATGAAAATGAAAGAACAGCAAAGACTGCAGCACGAAGAAAGATTACAACTAAAATTTCTGAAGGTTACAGCTAGTGTTGTCACGGTACCAAAATTTCAGTATTCGGTACCAATACCAGTGAAAATCCACGGTTCTCGGTACCAATTTCGGTACCAAAGCAAAACACAAAAACATGCTAATTGAACAACATTTTTATTAATAACGTTTAAAAAAATTAAATGTACAATCTGTTTTAGGGTTTGCTGGTGTGTTTCAGGATCTTCCTCAGTCTGCAGCTGTAAAAGAAAAATATAATATACTTAAGTAAAGCAATGGGCTGAGTCTGACCAAATGCAACATAAGATCATTGACACCAGCTAAAATATAACTTTTCAGGAAATAACAAACCTCAGCTTTTATAATAAATTATAATAAATATGCATTTTAATGCATCATGCAAAACTAGATCAGGTTAATTTTCATTTAATTTCAAGGGGTCAGTTCACACTTGATATGAGGGGCCCCCAGAAGTTAATTCATACTGTACAAGAGGGCCGGGTTTCCCAGTGGTCAGCAAGCGGTCAGCTTGCATTGTATGCAGCTCTAGTGTTCAGTTTCCTTTAATGGTCTCAGGTCATCCAACCTGATGTTTTGTAGGCCCCTGTTAGCTAGAGGCCCAAGGGCACTGGCCCTATCCATAATCCAAGCCTGCCCACATCCACATAAATATTTCTCTCCTTTGTTCTATCTGAAGTGTTAATGGCCACTCCTGTGTTTTGTTGTGATCGCAGCACCAGGGCTGCCTGAGGACTCCTATCTATTGTTGATAAGGGTTCTTTCTTCAGCAGGTTACTCATGAACACCCTGAGCTGGCTGAGTGTTGCGGCCTGATCTGCACTCGAGTAGAAGCTAGGACTGTTTGATTAATTATAGACCAATAAATAGTTTTTTTTTTTTTTTTGATCAAAGGCCATTTGTTATAGCCAGTGCTTTGGGCTTGCTGCAAGCTTCCATGCTGTGAGTATGAAAAGTAGCAAACAATGGTTGATGGGATTCCGATTTTCTTTTACCAGGTATGTAATTCCGTCACTGGATCGCTCCCATGCAGGCTTCTACAGATGTATCGTCAGGAACAGGGTGGGAGCTCTGATGCAGAGGAGTTCACAAGTCCAGGTCGCCTGTAAGTGTCACATCATATCCTGACACAATACAAACAGAAAATCCTAAAACTTAAGTAAGTGCTTAAGTTAAAAACTTAAATTAACACATTAGCAAAATTTTGCTAACAGAGCAAATGAATTGTCTGTTGTCAATAGTGTAACAATACTTGAAGTACCGTGCACAGAAGTCACTTTTGAATCAAGCAGCTTTCTGTTGGTCAACGCAGTGAATCCATGTGACCAAATTGAACTAGTTGCGAAATCTGCATCAGGAAATACTTCCTTCATGTGAAATTCCCTATCATTCCTATTTTAATTATTGGATTTAGTCCAATAACGGTAAATGTGATCACATTCTCATAATGTTAGCAAACTAATAAAATGGAATGCTCCCTTAACGTTCAGTATTCTGTATATAACCAAGAAAAAAAAAACATAACACATTTAAGAATCTGGGCTGCGTTTCCCGATGATGTTGTCTCTTAGCTCGTTTCGGGAAACACGTATTAACGTAAAGGTACAACTTAAGGTACAACTTAAGGTATAACTTACGAACGACGTAGCGTTAAGAAGGTTTCGGGAAACGCAGCCTTGGACTCTTTGAAAGTTTAGAGAACATTCAGTAATTTATGACTCATTGTGACCTTTAGCAAAACGTTCTTAGAACATAAAGCCGGATGTACAGTATATGTGCTTAGTCCGCTGTCTATATACCGTAACACTATTTTCAGAATTTTCATTGTGATTGCATGGACAACAGTACATATGCGAGGGATCTAACCATTTGAAAAGAAAGTGGCATGTACGTGTCTATCTACACTCATGGTCAAAGGAGTAGGGGAGAGTGGGGTAAGATGAGCCACTTTTAACTTATGTGGTCCTCAAGATAAGGGAAAATGATACAGAAGTACAATCAAAGTATCTAAAGTAAATTCAAGATGTTTCCTATCATTTTAAATTAATTAAATTAAATTTAGGGTTCTAAAAATATGGCTTCTTATAAAAAAGTGTTCCTGTGGCTCAGTTTGCCCCAGGGTGGGGGTAAGTTGACCCGAGTCAATGAGTAAGATGAACCATCTGGTTGTAAACTGACCATCTGACTAAATCTGGTTCAAACCTTAAATTAAAAAAATTATTTACCTATTTTAAAAACTAATTTAATAATCAAATTTCCTTTTTCAAACAGTTTACAGTTGGCAAGATACAGGGGGTGGGTCAACTTACCCACTGGCTCATCTTACCCCACTCTCCCCTATACTTTAAAAGACTTGAGCACACTCAACTTTGTGCAAGACACAGAAGAAAAGAACACAGAATGAAGCCTTAAGTGTTAGTTGCCAAAAGAGTCATATCACAAGATTGGAACTTTGTGTTTCCTGTCACAATGTCCCTGTTCTTGTTTTGTCCTCTCACTTTCCCTGTTCTTCCTGATTTGTGCTCTCTGTTTCTCAGACATGGAAGGCTTTGTGGAGGGAGAACGGTCTCAGGTGGTGTCCCAGGGGGAGGCGGCGTTGATCTCCCCCCCACAAATCCACAGCTTTCCGCGGCCTGGGATCACATGGTTCAGAGACGGGTCTCAGGTGGTGTCCCAGGGGGAGGCGGCGTTGATCTCCCCCCCACAAATCCACAGCTTTCCGCGGCCCGGGATCACATGGTTCAGAGACGGGCGCAAGATCCCCCCCAGCAGCCGCATGTAATCTTCTCTTCATTTGTGGATCAGAGTCATCTTAATGGCCCCCGTTCTCACAGATAAACTATTATACCTTACAGAAGTAGAGTACAATGCTGTTGTATAATTACTCTGGAACTTCCAGAAACACGCCAGAGGTATTTACTGCAGAATCTCTCATTGATAAAGTCTGTTATAATAAGAACCCCTGTTGACTTTAGACGAAATGTGATTGAAGGCTAGAGAGGAAGCCGGCAACACGGGAGCCAATTAGACAAAGTGGACAAAAGGCCTTTATTGATGACCTTGGATGATTGACAGAGTTTACGCCTGAGTGCGCGCCGCCCCATGTGTGTGCGTATGTGTGCGCAGTCCATGTTAGAAAGGTCTTAGTAATCACCTGAGATCGATTTACCTCATCCGCCAGCAGGTGGCTCGACAAAAACAGCTGGCGTGTTTGATGATCTATAATTCATGCTGATCGTCCAGCATGTCACATCTGACGTGAGGGCTTTAGACACTTAGGATTGTGTTCCCCCTCCACAGCGCAAGGACTTTTTCAGCTGGAGTATGTGAGGAATCCCCAATGAGACGCTGAGCATTGAGGCAGGGGTTATATAAACATCTGAGGTTCCAGCGGCGCTGCTTCGAGCTTCATTTTGTCTCGCTTTCTGTGTCTGTTGAGCAGCAGTAATGGTCCTATATGATTGTGAGAGGGCCTGACAGCATACGATTTGTTTGCCGCTTGTTGCATTGATATTCCACGGCGCATTTGGTTTGGACTCTGTGAGAGCCCTCACTCTAATTATGCTGGAGTCGGTTTAATCTGGGCTGATCAGGCCTGTGCTGACAGATACACAGGCTCTAATCTCGCTGCACTCCAAGTGTCGACTCTCATTTAACCACACGCACTCATGCATGACCTGCATTTTAGCTCCAGCAATCCTAAAACACTTATCCACTTGAGTCTTCAATGCAAATAACATTACCATCCCAGCCTATTGGACGTAAACAGTTTTCCTCAGCGCTACTGTGTGTTTGAGTTGTTTACTGACGTGTTTGCCGCTTGCAAGTTGTGTTTTCTAGTTCTGTGACTACTGTTCTCTTTCCAACGTCGTAGAGCCCTCACTTTGGACAACACCCTTGTCATCCTGTCCGCCGTGGCCCCTGACGCGGGCCGGTACTACGCCCAGGCCGTCAACGACAAGAACGGAGAGAACAAGACCAGTCAGCCCATCATCCTGAATGTAGAAAGTGAGTTCTGAATAAAGAATCAACAGACGTTTTGTGATGTCCAGTCTTCAAAAGACTGTCTGCAACCTCCTATGGCAAAGATTCCCAAACGTATTTGTCAGCCGAACCCCTTACCTAAAATATTTACTTGTACCCCTTTAAATTTTAAATTGAAGTCAAAAATTTAACAACACCTTGGCATGTTCACAGTTCTATGATGTCATGGTCACATGACTTACAGGTAAAGAAATAAAATATTTACATATTTTTAATTGTTTTTAATTTAAAATCATTCATTTATGAATTGTTTATTAGCTTTTCATTTAGCTTTTTCCATCACCCTAGTTTAGGATACCCTGCCCTCGGGGGTCTATGGCAGCACTGCAGGTGGTCCATCAATTATTGTTTGATCTCAAACAAATATTTAAATACATTTTAAATAAAAATATAATATTTAGACAGACTTCTACAATATTCAAGTTCAGCTAAATGATTCATTATCCCTCTCACATTAAAATGCATTAAGTAAAATGAACATTATGTTACACACACACACACATATATATATATATATATATACTGTATATATACAGTGCTAATTACTTTCAATTTGTAGTCCATTACTGATTCCAAATAATAAAGCTAGTAATGTAATCCGCTACATTACACTTTTTGATTACTTTTAGATTACTGTTGACTTAACTCGTTAATCACATTGAATTTAATAAGCTAATCTTGTACCATAATGATATAACAATACAAAGAAAAAGAAAATATATTCCATTCGTTGTTATTAACAACATGAAGTGCATTAAACATTACATTACATCAAGGTTTCCCAGGCTGGGATTTGTGAAGGTACTGCAAGGGGTTTGTGAATTTAATGAAAAGCTAATGATTAATTAAATCATAGAACTAAAAAAATGATGCAATGTTGAAATCTTGACACATTGATACTTATTAAAATTTATTTATTTTTGTAAATCCAGTGGTCAAATGCTCAATTTTCTGTGTAATTATATCCACATGGCCTTTGTGTGAATGTCTACAAAACGTCTCAGGTTACTTATGTAACCATGGTTCCCTGAGTAGGGAACGAGACGCTGCGTCCTCTAGGGGTCGCTATGGGGAACGCCTCGTTTTGACCCGTGTCTGAAGCATACATTCCAAAACACCAACAACATGTTGGCCGACGACAGCCTATGACGTCACTACCAGTGCGACTATAGTATAAATAGGCACCGGGAGAACACGTCATTCACTTCTTCGTCTGAAGCTTGCGTCCGAAGCATGGCAGGAAACCTAGAGGACACAGTGTCTCGTTCCCTACTCAGGGAACCATGGTTACATAAGTAACCTGAGACGTTTCTCTTTTAAAATATGTGTTCTTTGTACTTCTCTCATCTTGGCATTAATTTTGTTCTCAGTAGGAATACAATCAAGTAAAGGTTAGCAAGTAGTGCATTAAACCAAAGACTGAAAAAAAATCATGAGTGATCTTTATATATTTATATAGATCTTTATTATATATGTACTATATTTAAGCGCATTAAACTTTTTGTCTCAGAGATTTGCAAGGAGTCTGGATCATTTTCCTAAAACTTTAAAACATCACAAGGAGTGAAATAGCACTGATGCTGCATATCAATGTCTTTTGTTGAGCAAAACGTTGCTGACAAGGTGAAAAATTGGTTGTCTGTAAAAAAAAAATGTCATGATGCCTTAAGTCAGAATGTTTTAGTAACAACTTCCACATTATTTTAAGTAAATTTTAATAGTTTTTTTTTTTTTTAGAATGTAAAACAGTGGACACTAGATAGAACAGAAACAATTTCAGGACATTACCCAGGTCAGGTTTGAACCGGGGTTCACATGAGCACAACAGATATGAGCAAGCGTGCAACCTGTTGTGCCACTGCTAAACAGTAATTTTGTCACAAAAATACTTAATCTACCTCTGATAGATTAAAACTTAATCTGAAAACACCTTTATCAATTAAAGTTCTGGGCTCCGTTCTTCGTACGTCGCTTATTACATCCGAGATGAAATGTCACATCCAAGATGATATCATCGTGCTAAGAGGATACATAGGTGGAGTGGTGCCCAAGGTGGAACCGGGGCTTTAACCAACACAAGAAAGGGCACGAAGCTGCCGCACGTAACCCTCACCATACAGGATTTTAGAAAGAACGCAAAGTACTAGCGTGCGAACTTACCACAGTGTGGATTTTAGAAAGTGTACAAAGACTTCACGTGTACACTTACCATAACATGGATTTTAAAGATACTGTCCTAAGGGGCTCTCATGACACTCTGAAAGAGCAGCCCATAGATGGAAATGGTACATCACCAGAACAAAATGTTCGAGAAGCCATCAGCTCGATCTATGGTAAAATGCTGGAATGGCTAGCAGTAAGTTACCTAGCTGAGGGAGCAACACACCCAGCTCTCAGTCGAGAGGGGGCTCGACCTACAGCATGTTCGTTAGAAATCAGAAGGGTAAGCGTACCGCAAGCTTAGCCAAAACTCAGCGCAGCAGGGAGGCAGAGGAAGGGCCTAGTTAGCCTGATGTTGCCGGTTCCAGGTGCTCTGGGAAAACAGAGAACTCAACTCTCACATGAGAGGAGAACTCCAAATTCAGAAAGGAGTAGCGTGCTCATAGGCAACCCTTTGATAAAGGGGAGCACTGCTAATCACTACATTGAGAACAGCCCACGGAGCGAGGAATCCAACTGCTCAGAAAGGGAGAGAATTCAAACGCTTGAAAGAAAGCACCATGCTCACAATAACCCTGAATGGTGAGGAGAGCGATGCCCTGTGATCTGGCCGCATGATCCAGGAAGCATGAAGCTGGAACCAGGGCTATCATACCGACTGGATACAACATCGCGAGTGAGGTAATCACTGCAAGTCGAGAACCAGGTTTCTGAATCCAGCAGGGGGGGTGCTCACCGAGGACCTACCCTAGGAAAGGACAGAAACACACAGGTCCGGGAAACCACTGCAAAGAAAGCTCGCAGATGGAATACACACAACCACCAGCGTATTAAATATATATTTTTATAAAAATGGATCGTACTCACCCACCATGGTTCCCGCGCAGGAGCCCCATTCAAGAAGCGACCCGAAGAAGCCTCTAGT